AGATTTCGACTGACTGCTATTTGGCTTAACGCCACACTATTTGGCACAAAGGCTCACTGGAACTGCCAACTTGCGGTTCTTTACAGTCAGATTTCGACTGACTGCTATTTGGCTTAACGCCACACTATTTGGCACAAAGGCCCACTGGAACTGCCAACTTGCGGTTCTTTACAGTCAGATTTCGACTGACTGCTATTTGGCTTAACGCCACACTATTTGGCACAAAGGCCCACTGGAACTGCCAACTTGCGGTTCTTTACAGTCAGATTTCGACTGACTGCTATTTGGCTTAACGCCACACTATTTGGCACAAAGGCCCACTGGAACTGCCAACTTGCGGTTCTTTACAGTCAGATTTCGACTGACTGCTATTTGGCTTAACGCCACACTATTTGGCACAAAGGCCCACTGGAACTGCCAACTTGCGGTTCTTTACAGTCAGATTTCGACTGACTGCTATTTGGCTTAACGCCACACTATTTGGCACAAAGGCCCACTGGAACTGCCAACTTGCGGTTCTTTACAGTCAGATTTCGACTGACTGCTATTTGGCTTAACGCCACACTATTTGGCACAAAGGCTCACTGGAACTGCCAACTTGCGGTTCTTTACAGTCAGATTTCGACTGACTGCTATTTGGCTTAACGCCACACTATTTGGCACAAAGGCCCACTGGAACTGCCAACTTGCGGTTCTTTACAGTCAGATTTCGACTGACTGGAAGTTCGCGGGCTCAAAACGTCGGAAAACGTCCTCCAAGATTCCTCTCTGGAGCCACCATGAAATGTCGCCGCCAAAAGCTACTTTCTTCTCCGGTTAGGGAGAGTCTTTCGCTTCCAGGTCAGACACTGTTTCTTGATTCTAGGAGCTACTTTTTTCCCCGGTTAAGGAGAGAAGTTTTCACTTCTAGGCCGAAAGTTCTTTCGGATTCAAAAAAAGAGAAGAATCTGGAGTAACCTACGAAACTTAATTTTATTCAACAAAATTGTACAAAGTGATCTTACGGCTACGTGTTGCATTAGCAACTTATAATTATGTAAAACTTTTACATGATTTGTCCAGGGTTTTACATATCCCTTTCAATACCGGACTTTTGACCTAATTTTGCCTATTCTATTAGCTAGGATTTCGATCGCCCTTGAAAGGGTAAATTTGTGTTATTTCGATCCTATATACTATGCCCTCTCAGATCTGGGATTTCTCGGGTTATCTTGTAAGTTTATTTCTTTTTGTAACTCAGATCTGATATGGCTCTACAAATAAGAATGAGACATTTGTAACGTTTAAACATTATAATTATATCCTTCGTTAAGGATAAACAGAGAGGGAAAGCTAAACGTAACCTAGATGCGCAAGCATGCCATGCGTGGGCGTGTTTATCCTACTTGAACGCAGAAACGTTCCTAAGTAAATACTGCAGTTAGATTATGTAAAACGAGCTCTCGCTCCTTTTGCCCTACTTTTCATTTCGTATTCTTGGCCTTGGTATCAACGTCAGCTAGGGCTATGCAAACGGGATGCAACTGTGAGTATCTTTTGGTTTTGGTTTGAAATTAATTGCCTCGCGGTAACAGCTATACTTGATCTTAGCTGGACTGCCCTTACTATGGCTTGGAGTTCCTTTCCTAAACAAAGGAACAGTAGCTTTGAACGTTGTACGGGATTTACAGCGTTTCCCAGAGACACCGCTATCTCAATGTTCTCAATGAACCTATTCCACGCTTCCCACATTTTGTTTTCGGGAATACCATTCGGGAAGGGTTTAATATGCACTCAAAGATTTAGTAAAAATCGGCAATGACCTTCCGTAATCGCTCGATCTTCTCAACGCTTCTCGATTTCGCTTTCCTTGGTTCTTCGGTCGACGTCCCGATTACCTGGGACCGTGTCGGATCCATACGATCTTCGCTTTCGCTCGACGGTGGTGGTGAATAGACTGATGATTCGGACGTAGTGGAGCATGAGGTCGAACTGGCGCAATCAGAGAGTTGATCACCCTGTTCCTGATCACCCTCACAGCTGGATTCATTCTCGTTCGTCTCTTGTATGGTGTCCTCCGAGTTATGCGACTCATCACGTCCACTTTCCGAACTGCCTGCAGCACGGATGTACTTTCCTTCGTGCTCCATTCTGATTTTAGGGGTTATCCCGAGGGGGACGACTCTATCTTCGATGCAGAAAAGATTGTGTTTTGCTGTGGCTAGCTGCACGCACGCTGAGTAGATAGAAGGAAGATTTATGTCCATTTTGAAGATTTCCTGCAAAAAGATGAAGCACGATGCAAGTAGATGCGAGAAATTAAAGATGATTTTTCGAAGAATGATTCGCTAGTGTGAGATTTTTTGAGCATCTATAATTGAGATTTAGATGTGTCGCCTCGGGTTATCCATGCTTCTCGCCGAATCGTTTCGTAACTGTAACCTGTAATTTGCAATAATCACAATGTTAAAATCTATGAACTAGAAAAGGGGACGATTTGCAAAATCTGTCAGGGCTAGCTCTATGACATTCAGGTACAGAGCATTCCTAAAACAACTTTTAGCTGGATTTAGACTTGCTTAGTTGAGTTGGATTCAAAGCATCCCGATTTTTTTTTCATTCGGTCAACACGAACCGATGTGTGTGATAGTACTCTGGGGTTCTCACGACCTACCCAGGATTTTTATTTTCGTGACCTCCGCGGTCACCCAGCGAGGGTAGAACAAGTAAACTTGACGTTGTAAAATGGCACTTCTTTGTTCCATTGGCCATTTTGCACCTACTGTGCCAGAATATATTTTTTTATGTTACCTCCGCGGCCTTTTATTTATTGAGAAGACATTCTCTTCCTTCAATTTTTTTATTGCGGTCAACCCGACTCGCATAATACATACATGCTTTTTTGTTCAGTAAAGCTCACTTTTCCCGAGGGGGGCGACTCTATCTACGATGCAGGGAAAATTGTGTTTTGTTGTGCTTTGCTGCGCACACGCGGAGTAGATAGAAAGAAGATTGATGACGATTACTGTAGTAACTGGAGCACCTAGGTTAAAATGAAATGTAATTTATTTTGAATTTGAAACAAATAAAGAGTTAAAAAATAAAAAAAAGAAATTGATGACGATTCTGAAGATTTCTTGCAAAAATATTATGCGCGATGCAAGTAGATGCGATAAATGAAAGAAGATTTTTCGAAGATTGATTCACGAGTGTGAGAATTGTTGAGCATCTAGAATTGAGATTTAGATGTGTCGCCCCCCTCGACTTTTCCATTGAGTTATTCCCGTCATGAGCAGGTCAGATTTTCTAAAATAGTTTGTGCCAGGTTCCTGACAGTCCAATTATCCAGAATTGTGCTCCTGGCAGGCTTGCCAAAATGTGAGAGCACAACACGCTGGAGTCTTACGTATGACGCAGGGCGGACAACTGCATGTCTTACCTCGAGGTCGGTCAGCAATCGAAAGAGGACGATATTGCTGGCTTCTGCTAAGAGGAAGAGGTGACAATTGGCTTCTTCCTCTTTTATTTCTATCTCTATCTCTATCTTTATCTATCTCTATCTCTATCTTACGCACATGAAATCGGCCAATCAGGAGCTGGTTCACGTTTGACAGAAAAGTGGTTTTTTTTCGCCCCTGTATTGTCACCTCTTCTCTTGGGGCTTCTGGGCCTCGATGACGTGTTGCCAGTATTCATGCAATACGTCATCGAGGAGTGTTGCCAACATCCTAACATCCGCACCTGCTTGCATCACACATCATCTTGAGCATCGTCATCAAACTTCTATCTATCTACTCAGCGTGCGCGCAAAACACATTTTTTCCTTCATCGTAAATGTCTGTCAAATTTAATTTTCAATTTTTTCGCTTAAAATGGATCAGGAAATTCCGTAGAAATTCAATAAACTATGTACAACTTCAAGAAACTTCGAAGAAAATTACTGAAATTCTAAAGAAGTTCAGGGAACTTTGTAGAAGTGCAGCGAACTTAATCGGAATACTGAGAACTTTGTAGAAATTAAGCGAATTGCGTAGTTGAAGATGCTAATTTCGAATAACTGACTGAAATGGTAATTTTTATACGATAGATGAGGAGGAGATGAAAGTATAGAATTGATAATTCCGTTTAGAATACGGCAGTGTGAAAATTGCATATATAAGAGTAGATAGCGAGCTAGGACAACTTTTAAGGAAGGCACAAATCGGTTTTATCATCTCTCTTTACCAATACCGTAGCAATGTAAGGATATTCGAAAAAGTTCATAGAATTGCTGTTCATGGAACTTCGTAGAAGATCTGCCAAAATTGTAGAAGCCCAGCAAACATCATAGGAGTAGGAATTCAGGAAGTTTCGTAGCAGGTCAAGATGTATTGTAGAAGTTCAGCATACTTCATAAAGGGTAGTCACTGAACCGGGGAATAAGCGGGAATCGAAAAGAACCAGGAAATAACCGGCAATTTAATTGGAACCTTAAAATAATTAATCGAATTCTTTTAATAAATATGCTACGCTCGATACCTCAAATATTTTTCTTAGAATCTTGATCATTTCTTCAAGTTCAGGAACTTGTTTATTTTTCCATAGTTCCAGACATTAAGTCTGAAATCTAAAAAATACTAGCAATGTCCCTGAACATTATCAATATTTTAGATAAGTTTGAAAAAAAAATATGCCGCAGAAAATCTCTCTATTTCTGGGATATTAAATGCATGTCCATGGAGGATTTGTAATCTCACATACCTCACTGTTACATTATTCTGAAATTTCAGGTACATAATCTTGAACAGTTTTCCAATACCAGAATCTTGAAATTTGTTCTCAAGCCAAGTCTTAGAAACTTGAGAAATTTTGTAAAGCCTGGATCTTAAATTGCAGTGTTCGAAATCTCGAAAAGATTGCTTTTTTTTTATCTATAGATACCTATGTATATTTTCCAAGATTTTCCTTAGGATCGTTCCAAAATTTCGTTAGAATAACCACTCTTTAAGAGACATTCCCAGAAATCAAACGGCACCTTCTAATCCCATGAAAAACTCTTATTTATTAACATTTGGTATGAAAAACCTGTAAACCCGCACGGTATTCCTCTTCAGATAGCTACCCCAACCTTCCGTTGCTCGTTGCTTCTGCTCTTCGGTTGCCTTCAGCGCCCTGAATCGTTCCCTTTCGTCTTCCTGCTTTCTCAGTGCTACATACTCTGCGATGTAGTCCAGCGAGACACCCAATCCACTCAACTTTTCATCCACCTGCATCAATCGACTGACGCCTTCGCTTGTGGTCTTTTTGATGGCTTCAAACTGCGTATTCCGGTAGTAGTAGTTGATGGAAGTGGCAATGATTCCTAGCAGGGCACCCGCGCACGAACCGATAATGGACCAGTACTTGACATTGTTTGCCTGTGTCCGTTCCTTCTCGTGGGACGTCTTTACGGCTGCCGTCAGGTGTGAAAACAAGTCCCGTTCCTCCTGATCGACAATCTGGAAGATTTGATTCTTTTCCTTCTCCCGGGCTATCACCTACAACAAAAAAAACAGGTAAATTCATTTCAACTTCGAACTCCCAACGACAACCGAGCTCAACTCACATCGAATTCATCCCTGATCAGCTCCACATAACGATGCTCGCCGCGAACTGCTTTCTGCAATTCCACATGGATATCCTGCATCTTTTTACGGATCAGCGTCAGTTCCAGCAGAATGTGCCTCCGGCGTTCCTGGACCAACTGCAGTTGGTCCTGAATCTCAATTACCTTGGCCTGGGCGGTAATGACTTCGCTCATGCCGCTAAATTCATTGTAAAACGATTGCGCTTCGTACAGTTTGCTTTTGGCCAAATCGAGCAGACCGATTCGCCGGAGTGCCACATTGCTGCCGGAGGTGGTCGATTGTTGCGCCTGATGCCGGCTCGATTGTGGCTCCTGAAGGGTTATGTACTCAAACTGACCTTGCTGTTGCTGCTGCTGCTGATTAGGGTCGTCCGTCGTCGAGGTAGCTTTGTTGGATGAGTAACCACGGTTAGCAATGATGTAATATCTGCTTCCGTGAACAGTTCTCCAGCAGGGAGCAAAGAGTAGATTTTTGGTGAGCATAATGCGTTGATTATTCTAGCCACTACTTTGTTGACTGTGAAAAACTTGTAGAAAAATTATTGCAATGCATGATTAAAGGGAAACTGATAAAAATAAATGCATTGTTTGCTAGGAATCAGGAGAATCACTGATAAGATTCTATTTTTTAGTGCGATTTAGTGCAGTTTTTTATGTGCTCTCCGAGAACTGTCAAAATCAGATGGAACATCAAAACAAACCCAGTGCAAAAATTAAGGGCATCAGAGTGGCTACAGTGAAACTGAATGCAGCCGGTCGATCCTGAAAAAATGATAAATTATTTTTTGTTCCTGCGTTCCCGGAAAAAAAATAACCATACAATTACCATAAAATAAAATACAGTTACAACGAAATCTATTGTCAACTATCTATCTTATTTTACGTATATTGTACTATAAATTTTAACATATAGTTATTACAATAGATGTAAAATACGTCCCATATTGTAAGGATTTTCAACAATAGAACAACATTACAATTTACGGTAAATGGCTCAAGTTTGTTCTGAAAAAAGTGACTCTAAGACCAGAAGGTCCCGAAATAACGTGCTCAACTCTGGTACTCTCTTCGGTCCCAAGCTAATCGATTCACCCCTCGAAACATAGGAAAATCCACTAACCCCTCATTTTATCTGTCAAACTTTCATAGCGAATCAAATCAAACATAGTGTAGTACTGGAATTTATACTAGAATGCGCAACGTTAGTCAATTTGCTTGGGACCAATAGGCTAGTCAAGTAGTGAGCCAATTTAAAATCGTTAGTTTCGTATTGATTGTTGGTTCTGCTCGAAAACCGATTGATCGGTAACACAGGGGTTTTCGAACATGGAAAATAACTTTCGAGATGTCACTTTTAGCGAAGACAACAAATCAAGAAGATTGGCAACTCTTCCATTTTCTCATACGAACGCCATGAGACGGGTACAATCGTGTCATCTGCCGCTCAAAGGTAAATGCTTCGAACGAATTTGATAGCAAAGATTACATCCTCAGAAGAAGGGTTTGTGTATTTGTTAATTTTTCTATGCGTTGCTACCACCTTCACTCAAGCGCAGCGCCATTGTATCTGTCGCTTGGATTCTGGCAAAGTTCTCGATGTGTTGTCTTCGCATTTAGGCTGTGTTCCATGTGGTAAATTTTCACTTAAATTTGACATTTCGAAAATTAATTAAGATGTTCGAAAATCCCTATGTTGTTGATCGGCCGATTTTCGAGAAGGTTTCTGTCAAAATTGATTCCTTGTCTGTCAGAAAGAAGTCTGCTGGAATAGCAGGTTTATTTGAAAATTTTCCATCTGTCAAATTTAAGTAAAAAATCACCAAATGGAAGACAGTCTTAACCACGAGTTAAATTTAACTCGGCTATTAGTTTACAGCCTTAGAAGCTTTCAGAAGTTTCTTTTGAAAGCTTGTTGTGGCCATGCTCTGTCTCTTTCTCTCTGTTACAATTAGTCCAGTGGCAGGCGCGTAGGCAACATGTTATACCATGACAGCGGGCCCAGCACAGCAAAATAAACGATTTGAGCCCGGGACATGCTGCCTTCTGTCAAACGCTGCTGTTGGTATAGGCCTTGTCTGGTTACAACCAAAGGGCGATTTTGTTCTGGATGCAATAGACCTTTTTGACGTTTGATAGTCTTTCTCTATCCAGCACACATGAATGAATGAACGGTTTGTTTTCCCACTAATCTGTTTCCCTCTTGCTTGCACTCGTTCGATTTAAATGGTGCAGTAGTGTGCGCCGATTAAACGTCAAAAAGCTCTATAAGATGATCCAAGAGACGTAACTCTGTGGAACTGACAGCTAGAAATCTAGAGCGAGGGGGAATACAGTGAGAAATTGAGAGCAATCCAGAGTAGCTCTGAGGAACTCTTTTGCTCTCTGATGAACGATTTTATTATCTCGATTGTTTTGACAGCGCAGTCCAAGGAACGTTAGTTTTTTCATCCGGTGATCTATGCCGTAAAATACACTCAATTCATCGGAGAACCTATCAGCAAAACAAACATCACGCAATAACGTTGCTATTTGGATACAAAATAAATGGAGCTAGGGGGGCGTATGTGGGGGTTTGGTGGAATAGTTTGTACGTTTTTATTTTTTGTTCTAGCAACCGAGACCCTCACAGGACTCATCATCAAGCACATGTCCCCACCAGAGCAGGTAGCCGGAAGGGAATATCAATTCGCTTGCTCTAAGCATCTGGATGCTCAGTACTACCAACAATCAATACGAAACTAACGATTTTAAATTGGCTCACCACTTTAGTAGCCTATTGGTCCCAAGCAAACGATTAACGTACCCTATTCTAGTTGAAATTCTATTACTACACTATGTTTGTTTTGATTCGCTATGAAAGTTTGACAGATAACATCAGGGGTGTGTGGATTCATGCAGAACATGCAGGGGTGAGTGAAATAGCTTGGGACTGCTTGGGACCGTTGTTCTGGTACTGAGTGAGCCAAAAATAATAATGATTTTCTTCGGGACCCAGTGGTCTTAGAGTTACCTCTATGGTACTACGGTAGCAAGATCCTGGTCAATTTCATTATCATTGCAAATAGAAAAGTGCGCTGCATCATCAGAGTGATTTAAGAAAATATGCAAAACTTCAATGAACTGGTAGAAAACGAGATTCTTTCCTTATTTAAATATTGCATCCATTTATTTTCTTGTTGTTGTTGTTGTTGTTGGAGTTTCGATTTGTTGGCCCGAGGAGCTGTGCCTCATAAACGCCAGTCGCTGATTTATTTTCTTCATTCATTGTTTTCGTTTCGTTATCAAACTGACGTTTGCATGGTCAGATTCCAAAACTATATGCCCTACTAATTTTGCTTTCGTAACAAATTAGATTAGATCCCAGAGCAAACCAGAGTAACTCTGAGAAACTCTGAGTAAAAGAGGTACTCAAATGAAAGCCGTCTTCCCCCTCGGTTAACTCGGCAAATGGTTCACAGCCTAACCCTGCTATCCCTGCATGGTTATTTCTGACAGACAAGAAGTTAGACTTTGACAACCGTAGCTGAGTTTTGCTCGAAAATCGGCCGATCGAACAAGGAAAATCACTTGCGAACCACGAATTAAATTTAACTCCACAATTCGACAGTGAGCATGCAGTCTATGCAATCCTTATGCAAAGTGGGACTCTTATGCGTATAACGGCAGTATACGCGATGATCGATTCTCTTCATTGATTTTCTCTTTGCATTGCTACAGCTAAGTGAAACAATTTTCTAGAATTTGTTCAATGTAGGGTTGTAACAGGATGTATTGGCTATCAAAAGCAACAACAAACGCACCGAGAAACGTTAATTCTAGCTAGTTATTAACTAAAAGATCCCAGTCGGCGCCGCCGTTTACGCCCTTATGCATGCTAACTGTCGAACTAATTCACAGCCTAAAACTCTGAAATTCATCAGAGAGGTTTTCTTTCGTTTCAACTTCAACGAAAACTATCCATAGGTCATTTTTAATAATTTTCGTTCTGTATAATCTTTCATAATAATAATAATCGTTCTGGTTCCTTTTTTGCAGCTTTGTTGTTCCTATTCGCTCTTATCCTTTTTATTTTCCATTTTCCTAATACCTATTTTCATCTTCTATTTTCCGTTTCCAGTTCCGGTAGGATACAGGTTTCTATTATACATTCGTCAACGCGGGTTAAAATGATACATTGCCTGCTGTTAACATGGTTCACTTATTATCTGCTTTGCTCTCCTTTGCTGTAACACATATGCAAATGGCGATTGTTTTGTTTCTTCTCATTCGTCCAATTCTCTATCCACGGCTACGTACTGGATGTCGAAGTATGTATGTGTGCGGGGGGTGTGGTTGATATTCGCAAACGTTGTTTCTCCTACTGGTTTTTTATTGTGTCTATATGTCACTACAATTGTTTAGTTTTGCTACTTTCATTTAAACGCTATAAGTCTGTTTTATTGCCCGTTCAACTGTTTATTTTTTTCTCGGGTTATTACACCAACACAGCACTATTATCCAACGATATAGATTGAGAAGCAGCAAGTTATAGTACCAAGAGTAGTCGATAAAACGATGTTTGTTTGTAAATTGTGATGGCGAGATGGTGCTCCGATATCACGGGACAATGTAGCTAAAGGTGGTGTTGTATGTTCGGTACCGTTTACATATAAGACCGAATAGGATTGATGTTGCAGTGAAGGATTTGATTTTGATATTTCTCTAGCTAAAGTTCCACCCGGGTGGATCAAAGATTAGGGAGCATTTTTTTTATTTGTCTGTTAAATGAAATTGTTCTATATTCAGTTATGTTTCGCAGATAAACCGGCTGCTTAGTACATTGTTCGTTACATTTTAATAACACGGGGGAGACTATGTTTACCTGAACACTTTGAAAATGAAATGAAGATGAAAATTCAATACATTCTAAGCGCTAACCTAAAACGTAAACGGTAGGAAACTGTATGAATCGTTCCACTAGAATAATAAAGCTAACAAAAATAACGAGTTCAATGAGCGAATAAATGAAATTTCCAGGGAGTTGTTCTCTTTAAAACCTATATCTTCCTTAACTATCACCGTACGTTTCTCACGACGTTTGTTCGTCTCTTTCTCTCACAAGCTTAAGCATATGTAAAGTTGGCATAGGAAAACTTAGGAGCTTCTATAAACTAAACGAAAAATCTTACTGCGAACACGAAAAATAAACTTAAATCTTCTCATTTGTAACGAAACCCACTTCAGGGGGTTCAGACACGTCCGAGGCTAAAAAAAAACAGCTGAATAGTAGCATTTCTCGTAGCTTTACTGCGAGCTCATCACAAAATAGCGAACTGTCACATTAGTTAAGAAATGAAACCTTCCTGGGTGTGTGTCTCGCAGCCGAGCTAAAGCCTGCTCTGAATAGTTGTTTATTCTTTACACTCTGAAATGAAACTCATCACTCTAGTCCGTTTTGAATTGCTCGCTCAAATCGGTAGCTGACGGTCGTAATAATCAATGAAAATCGTGTCAAAATTGTGATTGAGTTAGTGAGCATTCATCAAATCTAAGTCAGCACTTTTTCGAAAACTTAAAACCTGTAAATAGGTGTCAAATTCTTTACTACTCTACACTCACTCTCGCTCTCATTAACCTTAAATTCCAAAAAAATATCCAAACTTTCTGGAAGCTACAAAATACGTACAGCCACGAACGGGCCTGGGGATTTGTCCAACTAAAACGATCAATATCCTATACACATTATTGCTACCGTCCTGCCGCCGCCGTCGGGCGACTCCTAGGTCTAGTGGGAATCGATAAACTCGTACAAACACTTGGGCACCTGGTTGTGGTATTCGATGGCGTGACGCTGCAGGACCCGGGCGGCCAGACAGGACAGGCGGGTGTACTTGATCGGGTTGACCAGCTCGTGGAGGCGTTGGTTCTGCAGCAACGATTCGAACGTGTCCCCATCTAGGTTTTTGGTGTCCTGAAAGAGCGGAAGGGGAGATTCAGATTCAGAAAAGGAGGTCAATAGCGAGAATTCCAAGAACTTCGGGACAATTCCGTCACTTCTATTTTGTTCTATTTTGTTTCGAAAGTTTCGATATTTAACGGGAGTTTCTGTTTGTTTACACTAATTGTTGCTTGAAGCTGCAGGAGATCCAGGAATTCTCACGTTTGCCGAAATTTCAAAGGTTTCTGACGATTCCCGGGGTATTGAGGCTTTATTCTGAGTTCTTATGTCGTATACCAATAAGCTCATAACAGAATCGAAAAGCGGCAACAAGTGAACGCTATTTATGTTGATTTCTCGAAAGCCTTCGACAAAGTACCCCACGATCTCGCCATTCTAAAAATGGATCGCCTTGGGCTACCATCTTGGATCATAAATTGGCTGGAATCGTATCTATCGTCCCGTAAAGCTTTCGTTAAGGTTCATGGTGCTAAATTCGTTGAGTTTGCAATTCCATCTGGTGTGCCACAAGGAAGTCATTTAGGTGCCGGACATTTGAGACCGCGTACTCGGTCTCAAATGCTGAACAACTAGGGGAATTTACGTATTCTCGGCAACCTAAGCAGCGACCTTCTTTCTATAGCCTTTTTCTCTAAGGAACGCACACATATGCAGTATTGGTTTGTTTACAATCTTTTGCTGCCAGCTGCTCTAACAATTTCAGTCGAAAGAATTGTCAAAAACTGTTTTGAAACGCTTTTACAAAGCTCCAATCTTCTCTAGTGAGAGCGAGTATTGTCGGCAACCAGTTTTTCTTCGGCAACCGTTCCATTTGAACTGCATGTAAATCCGCTGTTCTATTATCGGCAACTCGAAATCAGCTACAATTTGTAGTGCGTGTATTTCATTTCAAGAAAACCTTGCTAGATTGCTTTTTCTCAGTGGTAAAAATATAGTCAAATTGAACCTGAAAGCATAAAGAATCGTTTGCATGCATTTAGCGAAGTGTTTTCGTAAGAAAATCCAGTGAAAATAGTGTTTCAATTTGGGTTGCCGAAAATAGTCTGTCATGCCGAAGCCGTCATTTCCCCTATATGCTGCTGCTCTCACCCTTAGAAAGAGACAATTTGATCAAGGATATACTTCGAAGTCGCTGTATTTCTCATTAGGAAATTCACCAAGCACCACACACTATCTCTTCAACGTCACTATGTCAGGATAAATCACGAATACAAACGAGTTGCGAAACGGTGCTCGACGTGGATTGCAGAGAAAGCTTAAGTCACGGCCCAAGCAGTCTATGATACATAATGGTAACGTGGCCTCATCTACGCAAGATATCTATCAGCTGTTCTCTGAAAAATTTACTAGTGTCTTCACGGAAGAGACTGAGTGACTGGCTGCCAGTTACGCACCACGCTCTGGCCAAACCATGGGCAGAATTGACATCAATCCCGAGATGTTTTCCAGGGCTTCCTCGAAACTCAATTCGTCGTACAATCCGGATCCTGACGTTTATCAACAGTCCGCGGACGTCGGCGTTTTCCCATCCTGTTGGCAGAGCTAGCACACATGTTTCCAGTATACAAGAAGGGCAACAAACAGGACGTTGGCAACTACCGTGGCATCACTTCGCTTAGCACTGTTGCTAAATTGTTCGAACTCGTTGTTATGGAACCGGTACTCGCTCGTTGTAAGCCGTATATTAGTATCGACTTAGTATTCATGGCTGGTCGCTACACTGCCACTAACTATGATGTGTCTTACTTCCTTCATCTCTAACAGTAAGTCGGATCGTGATTGATAAATTGAATCAATCGCAAAACTGGTCAGGCTTGGTATCCACGGCTGCCTTTTGCAATTTTGTTTCAGCCGTACCTCACCGATCGCTATCTTACTGTTGCAGTCCCGTATGTTCGCTGCCACGTCCGGCATACCCCAGGATAGTCACCTGGGACCGCTGATTTTTCCGAGTTACTACAACGACGTGAATCTGGTAATTGAGGGACCACGACTATCTTACGCAGGTGACCTTAAACTCTTCCTTCGAATTCACTCAATTGAAGACTTCAACGTCAGCTGAATGCTTTTGCTGATTGGTGTATTCTGAATCGTATGGAGGTTAACCCGTCCAAATTCTCGGTTATCTCTTTTTCGCGCAAGAAAGAGACTATTATCAACAATCAATACGAAACTAACGATTTTAAATTGGCTCACCACTTTAGTAGCCTATTGGTCCCAAGCAAACGATTAACGTACCCTATTCTAGTACTACGCAATGTTTGTTTTGATTCGCTATGAAAGTTTGACAGATAAAATGAGGGGTTTTTGGTTTTTCCTATGTTTCGAGGGGTGAATCGATTAGCTTGGGACCGAAGAGAGTACCAGAGCTGAGCCAAAAAGTTGAGCACGTTTCTTCGGGAACTTCTAGTCTTAGAGTTACCTCTATGCTATTATCATAGAGGTAACTCTAAGACCAGAAGGTCACGAAGAAACGTGCTCAACTTTTTAGCTCAGCTCTGGTACTCTCTTCGGTCCCAAGCTAATCGATTCACCCCTCGAAACATAGGAAAATCCACTAACCCTTCATTTGATCTGTCAAACTTTCATAGCGAATCAAAACAAACATTGTGTAGTAGTAGAATTTCGACTAGAATGAGGTACGTTAATCGTTTGCTTGGGACCAATAGGCTAGTCAAGTAGTGAGCCAATTTAAAATCGTTAGTTTCGTATTTATTGTTGCTATTATGTTCAAGTATTTTTGTTAGGCACTGAAATTGCACATCTCGTATGCCGTCGAGAAAGCTTTCAGAATTCTAGTGTTTATCTTCAGGATTGCCAAAAACTTCACGGATATCTACTACCTTAAATCGTTGTACTGCTCCTTGTATCGCTCCATATAAGAATACTGCTCGGTTGTCTGGACTCCTCACTACAACAACGGTGTCGAAAGAGTTGAATCTGTTCAGCGACGGTTCCTGAGATATGCGCTACGTAAACTGCCGTGGGCGAATCCCTTTCGATTACCTAGCTACGAAAGACGTTTGCAACTGATCCATCTGGAGCCCCGGTTCGAAGAGATACAGCAAGGGCATTGCTAATTGCAGATATTTTGCAAGGACGCACCGATTGCCCTGTTCTCCTTGAGCAAATTGACATCAATGTTCAACCCAGAGCCCTACGGAATAATTCAATGCTGCGCCTGCCTATACAGCGAACTAAGTCTCCGCACTATTTGACTTTGACCTGACTCGCCAGCTGCTTCGCCGGAGGCTTAGTTCGTTTTTTTCTAGATCAGTTTATTTTGACTAGCAATGTTCCTTTTTTACGAGATGACTATATTGACTTATTGATGTTTAGTTTTAGTACTTTTCATGTTTAGTCAAAGGGGTGGTCACTCCGCACAGTGTGCCAAAAAATACAGTTGGGCACACCTGGGCACTCTCATTGGCACTGTTTGGCATCCATAATTATAAATGTGCATGATCTTTACAGTTACTGGCAATACTGTGCTATATCTGCGCATGTGCCAAAATTTTAATCATTGTTGTTTACACAATCCAATTGGTTCATAACTGCAACCCCGGATTTCCGGCCAACTTCCGCCATGGATCCCTTAACAGCGCACATCCTAATGTATGCCCGAAACAGTAAATCATTTGTATCGGTATTATCCTTTCGGTTTTTAAGGGGGTGCTTTATCGAAGATCGTTAAATTAAAAAAAATAGCTCTTCTATGTTGATTTGTCCATTTCGAAAGAATGGAAAAGAAACGGATGGAACGGTGCCCTCAACTACTACTCCATGTTGTTTCGGTTTAACCAGTCTGAAATCATCTAGACTAGTTTTATTTAGCATTTATTTTGCGGGATGGTAGCTTTCGATGACTGTTGCTCCACCGGACACATGAACGTTCCGAGTGGTAGTGGCGGTCGCTGAAGACGCCAGCGACGACGACTGGGTGGTGGTTAGGGAATCCTGCTCACCGCTAAGGCAGCCAGCCGTAAGCAACAGGAACATATTCGTCGCATTCTTAACTTAACCACTTTGTCCCGTTTCTTGTCATCGAGTTGGAACATGAGCTTGGCCACCTCGAACCGTGCATCCGTGTTGTCCCAGTCGGATGGTTGACATCGATAGCGTGAGCCCGTTCCAGCAGTTGTAGATTTCGGATGCCATCAGATGCGTTTCGATGCTGTATTTGCCGTGTTCGTTGTACAGCGGGGGGAGGAACCTCCATCACGTTTTTAAAGGGATCCTCCGGTTTGGCCAGTTTTGTTTTCCCTTGTCGAGTATTTTCATCACTGCGACCATTTTTCTGATCTATTGTGATATATTCCCCATTTTCTTTAGCTATATCAAGATGCCGTATCACTATTATTAGGAGTGATCGCCATCGTTTGACTAATAGCATTATCCCAGCACGGCATTATACTTCGAATAAAGTGCACTGCCGTACTGGGAGTTGTTCTCCAAATGTCAAATGGTTCTATCAGCCCCTTGTCGAAGAACTTACACCTTTTATTGAAAATTGCCGGACAGTGGCATAGCAAATGTTCCGAGTCTTCCTTTTCTATGCCACAGAAGCGACATACATCATCTTGAAGTTTTCCAATCAGCTTCAAGTGATAACGGCTCGGACAATGACCTGTTATAAGACCTGCATATTTATATACTAAGATCTTTCTTAGAAAGTTCCAGGATTTTGTGGGTCACAGAAATGTTTGGATTAATAAAAATCGCTTCGACTGCTTAGCAATGGAAGTGTTCTTCCAGTTTTCCTCCACTTTTGAAGATTCCCACGCTTTTAGCTCCATTCTAAGAGATGCAGTCGATAAGCCAAAAAAGGGCTCTGGCCCGATGAACTTATGAGAAGATCCGAGTCTTGCTAGAGCATCAGCTCTTTCATTTCCCTCAATCCCACAATGACCAGGAACCCAATATAAGTTGACTTGATTATGACCAGACAATTTTTGAAGTGATTGAACACACTCCCAGACAAGTTTTGCTGTACATGTCGCCGACTTTAAAGC